ACGGTCGCGCCCACGAACTTGCCCACGATGGGCTGGCCCAGCTTGACGGCCGTCGAGCGCTTCATCAGGAGGACGGCGGCGGCCCCGTCCGTGACCTGGCTGGCGTTGCCGCCGGTCGTGGTCGGCCCCCCACTGCGGGAAGGCGACCCTGATCTTGCCCAGCGTCTCGGCCGTGGTGCCGGGCCTGATGCCCTCGTCCTTGGAGATGATGACCTCCTTGACCTCACCGTCGGCGCCCTTGACCTTGGTCTTGATCGGCACGATCTCCTCGTCGAACAGGCCGGCCTTCTGGGCCCGCTCGGCCTTTTGGAAGCTCAGGGCCGCGTAGCGGTCCATCTCCTCGCGCGTGATGCCAAAGTCGCGCGACACGTTCTCGCTCGTCCAGCCCATGGGCTGCATGCAGTCCTGCGCCTCCTGGCTCGCCTTGGTGACGTCCTCGTCGAAGGGCTGGTCGAGCGCATCGCCGCCTATCGTCATTGACTCGGCGCCCATCGCGATACCGACCTGGATCGAGCCGGCGCTGATGGCGTTGGCGATGTCCTGCGTCGCCTTGAGGCCCGATGAGCAGAACCGGTTCAGCGAAGACGCGCCCGCCGTGTTGGGGAAGCCGGCCGCCAGGGCCGCCGCGCGGAGCTTGTACGCAGCCTTGCCGTCCGAGACCTGGAGAGATTGGGCAAGGAGGTTTAGTCTGAGTCGGAATGGGTGTTGCGGTAGAGGAAGAAAGGAGCGCACGCACATTGCCCATGCAAATATCCTCCACCAGGGCGGGATCCAGCTTAGACTTTTCCCTCACTTGCTGCAGCAGCGCGTAGATCAGGTACTCGAGCGTGGTGTCCTTGAAGCCTCCCTTCTTGGCCTTGGCAAGCGGCGTCCGCACGGCTAGCGTGATGACGACATCATCGTCGTTCTTGGACGTGCTGTTAGAGACATTGAATGATGTGTTAGCAGGCGGTGACCTGGCCGCGCAGGATGCGGTCAACGTGCCACTCACAGGGTAGAGAGCGCGTTGCCGGGCGTGAGGTGCTTGAGGATGGAACCAAGGCGTTCGGCAGCCATCTTGTCGGTATCAAGGAATGGATCGTGCGAGACGTAAAGACGAGGAGGAATCGGGCGGAGGTGCGGTCGAGAGAGATGGGATGTTTGCGGAACAAGAACAGCTTGTAGCACTCTCTTGGAGGCGCGGCTCTGGTATCAAATACGTTGGGCGGACGGCGAGTCGGCAGAAATCGTTGTGGCAAAACGCGCGCGGGAACCGAAACCTCTCGCTGGGCCCGAGGTTCCTCCCCGGCCGACGAAGTTGTGGGGTTTACCCGGCTTATGTTGCCGAGGCACGCTGGAGAAGAACCACGGCAATTCCCCTGTCTGTTGCGCTTAGT